TTTTTGATTTGTTTTAATAAATTTGATACAAATGAAGAGTACTAGAAGGTTTTTGTTTTTATTGAGGATGTTACATGCTAAGACATAATTGCGAGAGATGTGTGTGATCTGGCAATCAGTGGTTCAGGAGAGTTGGTATAGTGATTTACAAGTGCATATTGACCTTCTATAGTTTAGAGATCAATCAGCGAAGATGAGTACACATCTTTTGCACTTTAACCACTTCAAGTCCGGACACTTTTACCCCCTTCCTGCCCAGGCCAATTTTCAGCTTTCAGCGCTATCACACTTTGAATGATAATTGCGTGGTCATGCAAGACTGTACCCATATGAATTTTTTAGCATTTTTTTGAGACAGAGAAAGCTTTATTTTGGTGGTATTTATTCACCGCTTGTATTTTTATTTTTTTTTGCCATATAAATAAAAAAAGTCCCAAAAATTTGGGGAAAAAAAGTGTTTTTTTCTTTAAAATTTTGCAAATAAATAATATTTCATCATAAATCTTGACCAAAATTTATTCAGTTATCTTTTTAGTAAAAAACAAAATAACCCAAATTAGTTTATAACCCAAAATTATAATTTTTAAACATTTTGTTTTACATTTTTTTTTAATATTATTATTTATGTTTTTTTTTTAACATACTGTCACCCTAGCAGTACAGTGTCACCATGGTGACACTGCATTACTTGTGGGGGGTGATGAAAATTTAGCTTCTTTTTTTTTTTACATAAAGGCTGTAAAAACAATCATTTCTCCTTCTCTCTGGCTGCATTCTTGCAGCCATTGAGAAATACTGTGTGAGCTGTGATTGGTCACAGCTTGTCACATGGTACAAGGCTGTTGTGGATAGCCTTGTCCCATGTGAGCTCTGTGATCATTCACAGATTTCACATGTAGTAAGCAATGATGTCAGAAGTGACATCTTGCTTATTACTCTGCATGTGATCACTGATTGGCCAATCAGTGATCATGATCTGGACAGATGTCCCATATGACGATCGGTGTTCCACTGTCTCCGAGGACATAGCGGGCACCGGATCATGGTGCTACGCGCTCCCAGGCGCGCACAAGCAGGGGGTGGGGAGGTCGTTTATAAAAGGCCACCCGCCCCTGCACTGCCACCGTCCGGTCGTTTATATACAACAGCCGGACAGGAAGTTGTTAATGGTGCTGAAAAAGCAAACATTTTGAAGTACACTGGATTGTGTTTTTGGACTCTTTTGGGACTTAGAGTGTGCTCTTGCTTTTTTGCATGCACCATTACTAGTGATACACCAATACCAATTACGAGTACCGATATTTTTTTTAAGTACTCACCGATACCAATTACTGATACCTAGTACTGGTAATTTTTTTGTTCAGGGGTGGACTGACAACTCATGGAGCCTCCTATTGGCCCCGGGTGCATAAGCATTGCTGAGGTGCCTGAATGGTCAGTCCACCCCTTGGTCTACCACATGTGTTCTGCCATGTCCGTGCCAGGAAAATAGAAAATTAGATCAAATACTTGCTGTAATTTTCCTTTCCTGGAGCCAATCAATGGGAGCACACTATACCCACTTCTTAGTCCTGCTGAGCTCAGCTGTCTAATAATCAGCCAGCTCAGGAACTGCACACGTGCAGAACAGAACCAGGGAAAACCTGCAAAAGTTACAGCACTTTTCTCCTGTTTACTGACATTTACGGACAGAAGAAATGTTCCTTTTCTTAAAACTGTAACTGTTCATCTTGATTTTGGCAACCCAGATTTTGACTGTCCCCATGTATTCTGCTCTAACTACCCCATCTTCCCTGCTCAGCCTGTCGCCATCCCCCTATCTCCCCTGCTTTGTTCTCATTTTCCCTGCTCTGTCCACATCTCACCATGTGTTCTGTTTTGTCCTCATCTCCTTTGCTCTACCCCATGTACTCTTCTCTGACTGCCCCATGTCCCCTTCTGTCCCCATCTCTCTAGGTGCCTTGTTCTGTCCCTAGCTCCCCTTCTCTGTCCCTATGTCCTCATATGTTCATCTTTCCTGCTCTGTCCCTATGATGTAGTAAGCGGACTGTATAATAGGTGCAACAGACAGATGGTGCCTTGCCCTACCTTCCAATAAGGCTGTGGGATCTCACTGTTCCATTCCTGCTCCTGTGCCTAATGGCCCCTCCCCCTTGTCTCATTACAGTTCAATTTAGCTTCCAGAAGAACACCAGTGAAGGCCTCCATTCTCCCTTTGATACACATATGCCTGTAAGTTCTTTTATTGTGTTTATCAAAGTCACATACATAGCTAGATTGCATTTAAATGTATTCAACAGGTAGCTGTTAGCAAGAAATGTGTTCTTTGTGTGCATTTGTAATAGACATGTGTACAAGCATTTTGCAATTTCAGTTTATGTGATTATATTGCAGTTTTACAGAACTATTCACAGAAGTAATTTCAGTTTTTGAACGAAACACCTTGCTGCTTCTGTCAGTTTTGTTAGATAGCTGTCGGCAAAGGGTTAGTAGGACAGCATAGTATAGATTTACACATATTTAGTTTTGCTACGGAAGGATATAATTTATTTATCTACTTTTTTCTATATGACAATTTTTCCACCTGTCCCTTTTGCTAGAAAAATAGGCCTCATCCACGGTTGGAAGTCATTATTAAATGGCACATTCAGGCAATAACAAATCAGTCACAGCTATGGCAATTAGATACATACAGTAAGCGAGTTTGATCAGCTGTGTAACTTCGCCCTGAGAAGCTACAACACACACACACACACACACACACTTATTACAGAGACAGTAGAAGGGCAGCAAAAGACTACTTTCTGAAATCTGTGCTGTGTTGCTTCCAATCTGCCTTCTTCCTGAATCAGCAATCACATTCAGAATTCAAAGGAAAACATGAATCTGATGGGTATGACAAACATCTTGGTACTGGAATTGTTTATGGCAGGTTTTCTTGTGTGAGAGGCAACAAGCATGGTGTTCCAGCATCATCAGCAGACATGTTCCAGAATCATCAGCAGATGTGTTTCAGGATCCACAGGTTGTAGGCAAATAGGAGTAGGGTGGGCAGGACAGTACAGCACCAATGTCCACACCGAAGACTAGGAAAGTAAAAAAAAACTAGAAGTGTACCTTTACATTTCTAATATGCTTCCATGCAAAATATGTTAAAATATTAACTTTAATGGCAGCCACATGTGCAGTGCATACTCTTCTTACATTTACTTCCCCACGTGACAGTACTGGTGTGTGCCAACTGGCCATTCACAAACCCAGTGCTGTCACTGAGGGGTTTATTTATTAAAGCTAAAGAATGCAAAATGAGGCTTGCTTCTGCATAGAAACCAATCAGCGTTTAACCTCAGCTTGTTCAATTAAAGTGTTACTAAACCCAAGACCCTGCATTCACTATATCTGGTCTCCCACAGTACACACAACATGGAAATGCAATTATTTTAGTAAATATAAACCGATAAACACCTTTTCTCATCAGCAGTTACAGCAGTCTTGTGACTTCTATCAGTGTCCAGCAGAGCACTGATTAAAACTTGTAGGAGGAGTTTGCATTCTGCTGTAGGAGGATGCAGGACCCTTGACCTCTGTCTGCACAGTACTGATTGGCCCTGTACTGATCACATGCGCTCTCCCCAAAAAAAATACCTCTCTTGCAATACACACCAAACTGAGCATGTGCAGAATGTCTCCACACAATATGTCTTATCAGGAGATAAGAGGGGGCACTGGAAGAAGGGGAGGATCAGAGAAGAAAGGATCAAACAGCATTTTTACACAATGCAGATGATTAACCCCTTAGGTTCAACAGTGAGTATAACAAGCATGCTTTACTGCATATACAGACTGATTTTACTGTTGTGGGTTTAGTAACATTTTAAGCTTTGGCAATAAAACCTAGAGGCTGGTTCTATGCAGAAGTGAGCTTGATTTTGCACTCTCCAGCTTTAGTAAATAAACTCCATAAGGTCAGTGAGAGAGTCCTGGGTAACATATAGGAACCAAGTTGCAAATCTGAGCCTACAGAGAACTTTGTTGCTTTGTCGCTTTACACTAGGCAGCTGAGGAGAGGGTAATTCTGTGCAACCTAGTGGAGCAAAGCACAGGCTCACTTTGTGATATTAGCAGCAGTGAAAAGACTATTGGCAAAGTCATCAATTTGAATATGTATAAACCTATTGACTGTTCACAGTTTTACGACTTTGACCTCCCTTCCAAAGACCATTATGTTCCAGTTCACATGCTCTTCTGACAGTTGCTCTTTCAAGACCAAGCAGGCTTTCAAAAACTAGGCTTTTCCTGCCAATCTTATCAGAGGAGTGCTGACCCGCATGGAGGTGGAAATGGGAACCTTACTGATATCTGAGCAAGTTGGTGCTGTTTAGAGTGTCACTGCCAGCAGCAATTGAATGGACACAGTCAGTTAGTAAGGGAAAGCCCCAACAGAGGCATTGTATTGAAAAATAGAAAGCAGCAATGAAGAACTGCTATACTCTTCTCCAGGGGCAGACTGACAACTCATGGGGCCCCCGGGCAATAGGGGATCATGGGGCCCCTGTGTAATTGCCCAAACTCAAAAAAGCCTATGAAAAAGGTACCAGGGGCATCTCATGGGGCCCCCTACTGACCCCGGGCCCTTGGGCAGTGCCCGAGTTTCCAAATTGTCAGTCCGCCCCTGCTCTTCTCTCCAGGCATACTCCAGCTTCTGGTGCAGTTGGTGGACACATGTGCACTCTAATGGTAGAGATTTTATTACAAAAATAAAATGATGCTGTTGCTGTATGTTTTGACATATCAGGAATGTAGTCATGCTGACCCGTAAAGTCACTAAAAGTTACTTTACTATCCTATACCATTTTTGTTACTTTACTAAAAGTTCCACTTTAACCACTTGCCCTGCAGAAGATTTTACCCCTTTCATGACCGCTCCATTTTTTTTTGCTATTTGGCACTGCACTACTTTAACTGACAATTGCACAGACATGTTTGTTATTAAAGTGTTACTAAACCCACAACAGTAAAATGAGTCTGTATATACAGTAAAGCATGCTTGTTATACTCACTATAGAACCTAAGGGGTTAATCCTCTGCATTGTGTAAAAAGGCCGATTGATCCTTTTTTCTCTGCTCCTCCTCTTGTTCAAATGTCCAAACTTACTCCTGATAAGACAGACTGAACCCATAGCCGTTATGCACATGCTCAGTTTAGTGTGTATTGGTTGTGTGTATTGCTAGAGAGATTTTTTTTTCTTGGGAGAGTGCATGTGATCAGCACAGGGCCAATCAGCACTGTTCAGACAGAGGTCAGGGGTTTTACATCATCGCAGAGCAGAAAGAAAAACCTTCCTACAAGCTTTAACCAGTGCTATACTGAACACTGACAGAAGTCACAAGACTGCTCTAACTGCTGATGAGAAAAGGTATTTAGCAGTTTATATTTACTAAAATAATTGCACTTCCATGTTCTGTGTACTGTGGGGGACCGGATAGAGTGAATGTAAGAAAAAAAAAAACCTTTAGTATCCCTTTAATGGGGGTTTCTCAGGGGGATTAAGGGGCAGGATCAGGGGTGGACTGACAAGTCATGGGGCCTCTGGGCAATAGGGGATCATGGGGCCCCTGCGTCCTTGCCCAAACTCAAAAAAGCCTATGAAAAAGGTACCAGGGGCATCTCATGGTGCCCCCTACTGACCCTGGCCCTCTGGCAGTGCCCGAGTTTCCAAATGGTCAGTCCGCCCCTGGGCAGGATATATTATTCTAGCCTAACCTGGAATGGAGGCAGAGGGCAGGACCACCAGGAGAAAAAAAACCAGCAAAGCCCATTGTAAAAAATCTTCTAATGTGGTGTGGGGGGTGGGCGAGGCATAGAGCAAAAGTTGAGTTAAAGTGCTTGTAAAGGTTCAAGGTTCTTTACCCTCATGCATTCTATGCATGAAGGCAAAAAACCTGTGTGCAGCACTCCCAACCCCCCTAAAACTTACCAGAGTCTATTCTCAATCCAGTGATATACACGAGAGCCTCAGCTCTCCTGGGTCTCTCCCTCCTGATTGGGTGAGATAGCAGCAGTAGCCATTGGCTCCTGCTACTGTCAATCACAGCCAGTGAGTCAATGAGGAAAGAATGTGTGGAGGAGGAGGGTGAGCTCCATGTGTGAATGAACACATGGAGCAGTGGCTTGAGAGCGAGCCTGCTTGGGTGCCCCCATAGCAAGCTGCTTGCTGTGGGGACACTTGGCAGAAGGGAGGGGCCTGGGGCACCAGCGAGTGACCACAGAAGAGGAGGATTGGGGCTGCACTATGCAAAACCACTCCAAAGAGCAGGTAAGTATGACATGTTTGGGTTTTTTTTTTTCATTTAAGCCTTTAATATCACTTTAAGTTCCGCTTTAATGTTCCCAAGGTGGTGTGGAGCAGTGGATGCCTTTTTATGCTATATGCCTTCAGAGACCTTATTCCTAGTTAAAGCAGTTGGCGCTGTCAGAGTTATATTGTTAATTATTGGCATATAATATCCTGTTTCTGTTTTTCATCAAAGTCTGTTGTGCCTATTAGTCGCAGTCGCATGGGGTGCTTTCCTCTATAAGGTAGCTTTAGGAGGCAAGGATAATTTGTATTGTTATTAGAAGCTTCTGACATCTACAGTTCCCTACAAAGTCATGTTTTATGTTCTAATCTTTTTGGTAACATAGCATATCATATCTAGCAACCATATATTGGTGTGCTTATATTTTTTGTCACATAAACCAAACAACCGGATAACAGCCTAAATAATATTTAGACCAATTAAATACATTTTTCATTACCTTCCTCCTATTTTTTCCTAAGTCATATGTGAAGAAAGAAAACAGTTCCTTCTTGTGCCAAAAGCTAGGACTCATTAAAACCTCTATAGAAGGAAGCAATGTTTGTGATAATGACAAATGTTTCCTATAATCATAATCAACATTAGAAAGCAAAATAACGGCGTAACGACCAAATATGCAACCTAGCAACAACACCGAGTATCTCGAGCTGTAATTGCTTGCAGCAAGCAAAGCTGGATTGTGTTCGCTGTGCCAAGTTACAGTCAAGTGGTATGCAAGCCGCTGAGTGTATTTCATAATCAATTAACATCTGGTCTGCTAAATATCAAAGGTTATATCTTTCATTAACAGGAAAGTGCTGAAGTAATGATTCCAAAATAGAAGAGTGTCCATTGATGTGTTTCACTAATTTGGTTGTTAGTCTGCACGTTACATAAACATATCATAAACTGTGTCTAAATACATCATGGTTGTTCTTTAAAATATCCGTATTCGTTTGACAGTCGCTAGTTAGCGTCAAGAGTCTCCAACCGGCTTTTAAAATTAAGCATTGTCTCTTAAACATTTTTTTTCTGGAGCAGTTTCTAAAAATGTTAGCTCTCGTCCCCATTGGTTTTTGTTTTTGACTATTTTTTAAAAGAAACTTATACTAAGAGGGATATAGAGATGATCTTTAACCACTTTTACCCCTCTTCCTGCCCAGGCCAATTTCGAGTTTTCAGCACTGGCGCACTCAATATTTATCTTTTTTTTTTTACAGTTGCAAGAAAAAGTATGTGAATCCCTTGGGATTACGTGGAGTTTTGCATGCATTGGGCATAAAATGTGCTCTGAACGTCATCTAAGTCACAACAATAGAAGAACACAGTCTGCTGAACATAATACTACACAAACATTAGATGTTGCCATGGTTTAATTGCACATAACATGTAAACATTCACAGTGCAGGGAGGAAAAAGTATGTGAACCTTTGGACTTAATAACTGGTTGACCCTCCTTTGGCAGCAATAACCTCAACCAAACGTTTCCTGTAGTTGCAGATAAGACCTGCACAACGATCTGGAGTAATTTTGGACCACTCCTCTTCACAAAACTGTTTCAGTGTAGCAATATTCTTGGGATGTCTGGTGTGAATCGCTCTCTTAAGGTCATGCCACAGCATTTCAATCGGGGTTGAGGTCAGGACTCTGACTGGGCCACTCCAGAAGGCATATTCTGTGCTGTTGCAGCCATTGTTTTGTTGAATTACCTGTATGCTCACATACTTTTTCCTCCCTGCACTGTGAATGTTTACATGTTATGTGCAATTAAACCATGGCAACATCTTATGTTTGTGTAGTATTATGTTCAGCAGACTGTGTTCTTCTATTGTTGTGACTTAGATGACGTTCAGAGCACATTTTATGCCCAATTCATGCAAAACTCCACGTAATCCTAAGGGGTTCACATATTTTTCTTGCAACTGTAGATTGTTTGGTTGTATTTAATCACCACTGGGGTTTTTATTTTTCGCTAAAGAAAAAATCAAAAGTATTTTATACGATTACTTGTGAGCCACTGGGATAATTAACTAAGTTGTTCGCTGGCACCTATTCACATCCTCATTAGTATGTGTATATAGTATAAAAATTAGTAAGTGTTGCCGCGCCCTTTAGTATACTTATATATGTATAATAATAACTGGAGTATATACTGGATAGCATTACTATTATTGCTATCCAGTAACGGGCGCGGCACCACTTACTAATTTTTAAAGAAAAAATAAAGACCAAACATTTTTGGGAAAAAAAGTTTGACTTAGTTTGTGTTATAAAGCTTTTTAAATAAGTGATTTTTCTCAGTCACTGATGTGTGCTAATGAGGCTGCACTGATGGGCACTAATAGGCTGCACTGATGGGCACTGATGCGGAGGCACTGATGAGGCTGCACTGATAGACAACACTGATGGGCACTGATAGGCAGCACTGATGGTCACTGAGAGGCATCACTGATGGGCACTGACAGGCATCACTGAAGAGGCACTGATAGCCAGCACTGGAAGCCAGTACAGATGGGCACTGAAAGCCAGAACAGATGGGCACTGATGGGCACTAATGGGGTAAACTGATCATCAGGGCACTGATGATCAGTGCCCTGATTATCAATGTAGATGCCCCCCTGAGAAATGCTGCTTACTGGCTCTCCTTTCCTGTCAGCATGAGGAGAGGACTGCCGATGACTGGCATTTCCTATTTACACTGTGATCACCTGTGATTGGATACATGGTAAAAGGTGGCTCTGATTGGCCCTTTACTTGGATCACAAATCACAGATCATGCATAGGTGGTGGGGGGTGGTTCTGGGTGGTCCTCCCAGAACTAGCCACCCACACTGTAGTCATCTTTTGGCTATAGAGCAGTCGGGAAGTGGCTACTGGCCTACTTTTGAAAATGTTTAACAGCTTGGTACTTCACTGCCTAAATATTGTCAACCTCTTTTTATTACTGACTTCAGTTTGCTATAATTTACTGTTTTGTTGTTTACCTTCTACCTACCCTGGTTTGTGACCCGACTCTGCACATAACTGTTTGTGTACCTTGATGTATTATCTGCTGCAGAACTGATACCAGCTCTCCAGAGTTTCAGTCACCAATGTCGGCACCCAGGCACATGTGCCCTTCCGTTGCCCTTTGCAAATCCTGTCTTATCATCCAGGGGTGCTTGGATGGGAATTGTGCAAGAGGCCACCCTCATCAACTTGAGTTCCTCATATAGATACTGTACTTTAAATATGTGTTCCTTTTATAAAGTTTTATAATATTTTATTTTTGTTATTTTGGCTAAAAAAATTCCTAAAATCTTAAATTGTTTGTCAAAGTACATTTTTTTAGTTTTAGGGAAGGGTTAGACTCTCTCCCAAAAACCTCTGTCAAGTTCTTATTGTGGTCTGTGTCTAAAGACAAGAGATCTACCCTTTCATATGTCCACGTTAAAAGAACTCACCATGCTCAACCTGGCTGAACCCAAAATCTGTGTGCAGTAAGCAGGTGGTGCTTCGGTAAGGCAGATTTACAAGCCCAAGGACAAGTGGTGATATTTATTTTTTAGTACCCTTTTTACATGTACTGGTGACCATTGCCAGTGAGAACGTGAATGGAAATCCAAAGACATACCCAGAACAAGAGGTGAGGAGAAATTGTAAAATGGGGACATCTGTTCTAGAACCAGCTGACTAAGAGGGAAATTCCCCTTACTTTGTGAGATTTCCTCTAACCTCCTGTTGCATCTCTGGAGCAGACAATTTCTCTAATTCTGCAACAAGAGCAATTGAGCACTGTCTGTGATACTTTTTATTTGCACTAACATGCAAATATTCAAGAAAAGGGTGTGCCCCCTTCTTCATGGTCCAAACAGTACATATGATAGAAGCAACCAGTGCTCTCAAAATGATATGTTCAATATTGTCTCTGTATAACCAAAGATCAGACGTCATATATCCATCAACTTCTTTCTGTATCTTCCTTCCTATATTCTTACTGATCTCCAAAAAAAATAAATATAGTATGGTGTAGTATGCTCAATACACCATGCCTCAAATCCTGTCCAATGTGCTCACATTTATAATAAATAACCATATGTGTATTTGTTCACCAGTGTTCTTCT